AAAAGCCGCACGTCTTAACGCTCTCGATGGCCCGCTGGCCGGCGTGGCTCAGTGGTTGAGCATCATCCCATGCACCAAAGGTCCTGGGTTCGATTCCCGGTCAGGGCACATGCCCAGGTTTCAGGCTCGATCCCCAGTGTGGGGCGTGCAGGACGCAGCTGATCCATGATTCTCTCTCATCACTGACGTTTCTCCCTTTCTCTCCCCCTCCCTCCCTCTGAAATCAATAAAAACATATTGTGGCCAGATGACATCAAACTCCAACTCCATCGGGCCCACCCCACGGAGCCTGGCCAAGGCCATGACCTCAGGTGCAGAAGCCAGCACAGCCGTCCCGCTCAGCATGGAGGCCACCCCCACCCGGGAGCTGCCCTGGGAGGCTCTGCACGCACCTACCCCCAGCTGACTTCCAGGAGGGGGCGGGCACACAGTGGGGGCACAGGGAGTGCAGGGCGGTGGAGGAGGAGCCGGCGCCCCGGCGGGAGAGGGACCCCCGGTCAGTCCCGGGAAATGGGCGGCTGTCCCGGTGCTCAGAGCCGTCCTGTCAGACGGAGAGCAATCCCAGCGACACCAAGAGGAACTCACGCGGGAGGAAGTGGGGCGCACTGTCCCCGAGGCCACGCTGTCCCCAGAGGAGAAGAAAGCACAAGGCCACTCCCGCCCCTGAGCTCAGGTCTAAACCGGCCCTTTGAGTGTCCCCAGGTGAACACACCCCACAGCTCACAGGGGCGCCTGACCCAGAATCTCACAGCCTTTCGGGAGGCAAGCCAGCCTCGCGCCAGGACCCACCCGGTGCCCAGGGGCCTCCCAGCCTCGCGCCAGGGCCCACCCGGTGAGAGGAAGCCGGAGGACCGGGCTCCTTGTCAATGAGACGCACCCCCATGAGTTCGAGCCCCTGAACAGCCCTGGGCAGAGGCTTCGCTGGGCTCCAGTGGCTTCTGCCTTCCCGCTGACCCACGCGTTTCCCACTTGGAGTCGGCCTGTCCCAGGGCCCAGGGGGACGACGCAGACCCCCCACCCCAAGCCCCATTAAACCTCCCCAGCCAGCGCTTCTCCATCCACCTCCCCGGCCTCTC